ACACGATTATTGTTTCGCTTGAAATTTGAATTTTTGGAGGATGGAGAGAAACTATAGGATGTATTTTTCGTTTCCTTTCGAGGAAACAAAGTTCTTTTGGTTACGTTTGGTTCGTAAGAGGGATGTGGATTTCGGCAGTGGGAATCTCTGAGACGGTGGAAATTTTCTGTTCCCCAAGGTTTCGGTTTGCTCCTCGAGCTCTTTCAACCTGATCAGGCATGGGAACGGGTTTTTCTTTCTTGGACGAAAACGGTTACAAAGCGGTTAGAAAAAGTGGCCGGCAAAAGCTGCGAGACGATGGAAGTTTCTTCGAATTAATTGAAATGGAAAAGGATCATTTGGTCGAGTCAAATGTTTTTACACGAGACAATGCGAGATTTCGGTGCCGATAACGATGCCATTTTTCTTTCGTGCATCCTTTGGTTTTCTTGTTATTTTTATAAGATGTTTAAGGGAATAAGAAAGAAAGATGTAAAAAATAAAATTAATAGTTTGTAAACTGTAATTTTATAGGATAAATAAAATTTTAGAATTTATTATTATTTAATTTTTGATTTAACGATGGTGTTATCAAAAGGAAAGTATCGATTAGATTTTGATAGAGAGAAGAAGGGAAGTCTTTAATAAGATAAATCTATTTCATATTTTCATTGACCATTGTAGAAATAGATTTGAACAATGAATATTTAAACTTTACTATATCACAAGTAACGATAATAATTTTAAGAATAAACTTTGAAATAAATTTAAGAAATATACAATTTCATCCTACTTGACAAAATTAATTTATGCAAATAAATAAATTGTTTAATTCACTCGCTATTAAAGTGAATCTATCTTTTTTAGAAATTTTGCCGATTCATACTATAGATACTAAAATTAAATTGATCGTCATAATGAGGATATTTCGATATGAAATTGTATTGTATTATAATTTAATTGTTAATTAAATTATTCTGGAATCTCAAATAGATTATCAATTTATCCTGACGGTATTCCGAATATATTTTGATAGTTAATTAATGGACCGATATTATAACAGAGAAATTAAAAAAATCTACCATATTAGTCAATTCTATTCACGGAATATTGTAATAAATTTCGATTCCAATTTAGCTTATCCAAACGTCATAATTCGAAACTATAATTGTAGAATATAAAGTTCTGTAAATGATAAGAACAAACTCGATGAGGATATCTTTCGAATAAATAAAAATCTTGTGTCTTATTTTAAATATTAATAATTATTTTTCGCTCTTTTTTAAATATAAATTTAGAATAATCATAAAGAAAATACTTTTTTTATTTTTATAAGAATAATTATAAATATATTAAAAATTTTATTGGATTGAAGAAATATTAAAAAAAAAAAAAGAAAAAAGAAAAAAGAAATAAATTATAAAAGAATGTAACGTACCATAAAATTTGTTCATTTTCTTACATTATTTTTCATTTTCCATAAAATTTTAGATATATCCATAGATATATTTTAATTTTCCTTTTTTTTAATATATGTGTTGGCTGTCAGTTTGGTAAAATAAAAAATTTTTCGCAAAATATTCACCCTTGTTCACACGTGGTAGTTATATTCTCGTATAATAAAGAATTATAACGAAATCATTGTGCTCCATTTTTATCTAAACAATATTTACAACCGTGTATATATATATTTTTTGGATATTTCAAAAGTGGTATGGAATGTACTCACCAGGAAGTGTCGCAAGCATGCGTCAGGGTAAGGTATCTCGCGCCCAGGCCGTAAAATGTCCTGAGAACACCCAAGGAATTTCCAAGGGAGTGACCACCTTCCACCCCTATAAGACTTGCGATTTTCCCTTCTCGATGAGCCTCGATGAGACCTACGCATACAAAAAAAATATCACTCTTCGCGTTTTTCACTTATTCTCTATTTTTACTTTTTTATTCGTTGTTTCTCTCATCGCGAAATATAAAGAATATTTAGAAAACCCCGTTCCTTCCAAGAATGGTAATTCATTTTCAAGAAAGAAAATCTTTTAAAAAAGAAGACAAAGAGATCGAGTTTCTTTCCTAATTCGATTTCTCCAGGGAAGGTTTCTTTGCGAATGCGTTACTTTTAGCCGCGTCTTTTACTTTTACGCGATGGTTTGACTTCTTCCATTGTATTTTTTTGAACTCGTAGAAATTTGATCGAAAGTCTAATCTAATCCTTTTAATCTAGAAACGAATGGAAAAACTCTTTTAAAAAATTACTCTACAAATAATCCAAGCAAAATTTCCTAAATATCACTCCTTCGATTTTTTCCCGATATTTACAATAAGAGCGTCCAAAAGAATCTTATATTTTCCTCCATTCGTTCCAAAGCCAATTCAAAGTAAGGTATCCCTGATCAGTATGCAGGTTGATGCAGATGGCGGCACAGGCAAGCGTTCGAAGATCTTAGACGACCGATCTCCTCGCCACGAATCACACCTCCCTTTTCCATCCCTTTCCCTCGACCTCGTTTCGCCCTCCCACTTGGCCCAAGTTTCTCAAGCTTATGAAAATGGCCGACAGTTTTCTGGAGCGGGGTTACTCGTCGCGAGAAGTTTTTACAACAAGGCGCGCTCCTCTCATTTTTCTGCGACGGCGCATGCATAACGCGATCTTTGCTTTACGTTTGCCGTGGCGTGAGCACGCAATGGAATTCGTGCCCAACGAAATTTCCCCAGTTGTCGACGTTTATCCATTTGTAATGAATATGGGGAGGAAAATCCCGTTTCTCGAACGTGCAGTCATTTCCCGTATCCCGTATTGGGATAAACGGAGTAAGAGTATTTAAAGAAATAGTGTTTGTGAAATTGAGTAAGATAGATTTCTGGTGTTTTGTAGATTTTTTGAATTTGTACAATGATTCATAATATTCTTCTATATTTGTATTCATTTCTGAAATGGGAAGAAATAATGGAAATGATAATTATTCTTGAGACAAGTTGTGTCTTGGAAGTTTATCTCTTTAATTCAATTACATTATAATTCAAGAATATTTTCTTTAATTTGTTGAAACTTCAAATTTTAAGAAAAATAATGTGATACTTTTTAAATAGAGCATTTATGGAAAATTTAAAATAAAAATATGCAAAAAGTATTCGAGAATGATGAAACAGATTTAAAAATTTCAAATTGCATAAATTTTACACCTTTAATCCTATATTTATTTATTTATTTATTTTTTTCGTTTCCACACACCTTAGAAAATGAATAGTATCTCGCGCAAATGTGTTTTAATTAAAGTCGTTTAACAATGTGGACTTGGCCAATTACACGGGAAATCAATAATGCATTTACAAGTAACCATACACGAATACATATGTATCATTGTCAATAACAAATTGACACTTGTAATTTAGTTAGAAACTTCAACACAAGAGCGGGGCAGAAACGTCCGTTTCCATTCTATTCGGAAGTTCAAATACAAAGTTCAAGATGTAAGTAGGTTATAAACTTCAAATACAAATGTGCGAAATTCCAAGAAATTCCCGCCATTACCTTAAAATGACGTGTAACAATTTCGAATAATACTATTATACTGACCCGTTCATCGAAGCTTGGATTTTCGTTGTTAAATTTTATTCGACTTTGTTACCCCCTCTTGAGGGGTAAGAAATAGAATAAATGAAAAATTTAACAGGAATATTGGGGCAGTTTTCTGCCGGAAGAAGTCTTGATCGTGGAAACTTCTTTTTTGGTGGAAGAACATTATATGCTAATTGTAGCACTCATCTAAGTATAACATTAAAATAAATTTTCGTTTCTTAAGACGTTTCGAGTTTAAATCTTCTATGCTTCGAATATTAATCAGTTAAAAATTAATTTTTAACTTCTCATTGAAAGATTTGCAAATCGTGATTATTAATATTTATTATGGGTTTATATTTATAGAATTTTAGTTTTGAAAAAAATTACTGAAGGCGAAGTTAAATTATGATCTTGAAATTATTCTTTAATTATCCTTCACCAGGTGTATTATTATGTTCAACAATTTTTTTCAGAATGAGAAAGAATTTTTTTAATCTTCTTCTTTAATCTAAATTAACAACACGTTTTTAAAAACTATTTGGATCTTTAGCTATTTAGCTCGTATAATAATAATTGGAAATCTGCGAAATTAATATTTATTAATTGATTATTTAAAGAATATTTTTAACTAATGTAGCAGAATTTCAATAATAATTTTCACGCACATCGGTGATACATCCGTTGGAAAACATTATTCCACCTACTTCCACCTACCTCCTCTTCTAAAGCAATTCCATTAAAAATACAAAATCCCTCGTGACGCAAGCAGGAAATTCCCTTCTTTATCCAGCATTGTTCAGTCAAACAATACTCGAGCTCCTCGTTTCTTTCAAGAAACACAAAATGATTCTTTCGCCAAAGAAAGTTTGGAAATTTACCGGGGGAAGGGGGGAGGGGCTGAAAACAAAAAAGCAAAGAGTCTATAACCTGCGAGGAAACTTGTAAAAGTTTGGGCGACAAGTAACCCCCCCCTCTCTTCTCTCCCTTTTCCTCCCTCGTTGGAAAGCTGTCAGCCATTTTCATAAGCCGAAGAAACTCTCGCCAACCGAATCGAGGTCGGAAAAAGGAACTTTTCACTTGTCTTTTCGGGCCTCCACGCGCGTTTTCCTTTCGTATTCCTGAAGTCAAGACCGATGCGAGAACAGAAATATGGGGAATTAAATAAAACTTGGTCGAATAATGTTTTTGAATAAGAATTTTGACGGAATTGGAATTTTAACCGGATAGATTGATGCAATCGTGGAGAGCATCGTGGATATAATTTTCTTGACAGCCAGTTGTTACTATTCAAATTGGTATCCGTTTGATGGAACGTGTCAGAATCGGTTTCTTGCGACGTATGAAATTGAATATGAAATTGAAATTACGAATCTCAATGAGTTTGATAAAAATTTTATTCTGTTATTTTTTTGCGTTGTTTTCTAAATATGAAAAAGATGATTAAATAAAAGAATTCAGACTGAAAAGAATAAGTTCATCTTTTTTCCTAATTTCTTTGATTGATATTTTTATCGATTAATTGTTAACTGTATGAAAGAGCAATAATATTTTTTTTCATTTTATCATCTCAAATAAAAGAAAAGTTTGTGATGCTCAATCAAGGCTACAAATGTCAGCATAGCCTTGTATGAACGATGAGATATAATAATAGAGAGAGATATAATCTGAAGCCAAAATTCCAAATTTCTTGGCAAGAAGATCTCGAACATCTCGAGTCCTCTTATTTCCTCTTATTACTCGTATTCTTTTAAAATAGATTTCGAATTTTGAATCGTTCTACATATTTGATTCATTTTATTATCGAAGAAAATAAGGTTAAAATTTTTAGGTAAATTTTTATTGATTATCAAGTAACCGCCGATAAGCAAACATTTTTCCCAACTGTCGGTAAAGCTACGAATCATGAAACGGTGTCACAAAGTTGGAACCAATAATTACTTTTCTCTTGAATGATACTTGCTCGAGCAATTAATACCAGATCTCCTTTGTCCCCTCGAGTTTCCTCGAGAGCAAACTTTCTGCCTAGTTTCTGTCGTTTCTGTTGCATCCATTGTTATTCACAGTTGGTACACCGTTTCTAAGCGATCTAATTATCAATGGGACAAGTAGCAATGTCTCAAACTTGAAAATTCCTCACTATCGATTGTTATTATTATATGATCGAGAGTTTATTATCGAAATTATTAATTTACATCATCAAACGATCTTCGACGTAATTGCATCTTTGTCTACCAAGATTTTTACTTTTTCAATTATCAAGAAATCGATAAACGATCAAATGCACAAATAGAAAAATAAATAAATATACGTATCTTAATAGTTAATAGCCAGTAGTGGCGCTAGTATCCTTTTCTTTCAAAATCTTCTTCTAAAATTTCTTCGTTCTTGCTAAATTTCTTAACATTATTCAGAGTATACATCCTCATAAACGCGTAATCAATGATTAAAGGAACAATGTTTCGAAGTTTCCACATCTCGCGATGCAGTTTCCACTTTTGTGAAACAGAGAATTATAAATCTTTCGAAATCCGTGATAATGCATTGTACGTTCACGGAAACGTAAGTCTCGATTCTTTTTCTGTTTCTTAGCGCTATGAAGCTGCATCTTTTATGTCTACAGCAACCTTAGGGAATCATGGTTGATAAATATTGTCTGAACCATTACGTACACCTTGATCTTTCCGTGTTACAATTTTCCCCGAGACTATCTCGTTCCTAGAAAATTTCAGTTACACTTTATATATACACTTTATACACTTTATCTTCCCACCATACTTTTTACGTGGATGGAATCGAACGTATCTTAAATCTCTTAGGGTTTCACATTCGCGAAACGAAAATCTCACCGGATTTTCAATCTTTAAAATATAATTTTAAAGTGTAGTAAATAGTCGTGCAACATATTTATATTCATTCTTTTTTTACAATTTTTTAATTAAATTTAAAACGAATAGATTATCTTTGCAAGACAATTTTTTTTAAATTTCTTTTAAAAAAGAAGATCCTGAAAACAATTGTTTAATTAGAAATTATCTTTTGCATATTTACCTACATTAATTCTTTGTATTTTTTATTTTATTCAAAAAATTCAATCTCTTTCCTATAATAAATTTTTTGCAATTTATGGACTTTACAAATACACAGACGTGTACCAATAAATTAAAACTAATTCACTATACATTTTGAACAGAAAGAGAGAGAGAGAGAGAGAAATTAATAAAATAACGTAAACGATTTTATTAATTCACATTTTAAATCGATGGACGAGAAATTGAATCGAAAAATTGTTTCATGATCGAACAAAAAAAAAAAAACAAAAAAGAGGGGGGGGAGGAAAAAAAAAGAAACAAACCATGCACCGTTAAAACCAATAAAATTCAACTTTGATTCGAAACCATGCACTTTCCACAATGCAGATTTTCCGGGGCGAAATGGTTTGCAATTAAAAACCGTATCGTTGGATCGAAAGTTCGAAACGCTCACCTTTTACGGAGGTAACCAAAGTTAAATGTTGAGCATTCATCTCGGCGAGGCGGCGGATCACGTCGATCTGTTCCAAGGAAAGTTGAACAGCGTTCAACTGTGCCGCACCGCATGGAACGTAGGCGGACCAAAACTGGAAAAAAGAAAAAAAAAACAAGCGGAGCAATGGTTAGAAATGGCCTCTAACGATTTTATTCCCCCGCGAGGGGGC